TGGGGGGCGGGGGGTGGGGGTGGGGATGGCCGCAATCCCTTTTCCATTCTCCTCTCAGATTCTTGAGAACACATGCATACATGCCCGGCATGAGTTTAAGCCACCAGGTCTAGGACTCGAACCATGGTTGACTACATGGGAGTCCAGCGACATAGCCATTACACCAGCCAGTGGTTCCAAATTATAAGAAATATTTTGAGCATTATCTTTAAAATTCAGTATTCTGAAATTTTGAAAGTCGTTTATTAACTATCAAGAACTACGGAGTATGAGCAAAAATTTTTCGATATGTAAAATAAATGCAGAAAAATGTAAAAAGAAATAAAAGAAGAAAAAAGTGTGTAGAAAAACAAAATTAAAGTATGAGTTTATTTTGGTGCAAAAAATCCATGCAGTTCATGCGGGATTTTCCTAACACCTGGTTTTCATGGCCTTTCTGAAGATTCCCCTATATTATAATAAAAAATTATTCAAATATTTGTTGACTAAATAACAGAAGCCATTTCTTTTTTTTTTTTTAATTTTTTTTTTGAGAGGTTTTCGCTATAGGGCGCGTGCGCTCGCCAGACAGACAGAGAGAGACAGAGAGACAGAAAGCGAGAAATAAACCCCCCCGGGGGGATGGTCACGCCGCCATCCCTTCTCCTCCATTCTCCTCTCGGGATCTTGGGCACGCACGCACACGCGCCCGGCGTGAGTTTTAAGCCACCGGGTCCGGGACGTGAACCGCGGTCGACTACGTGGGAGTCCAGCGACATAGCCATTACGCTAACTGCTTGGTTCCCCAGAAGCCATTTCTTGAAAATGCTTATTGGTTTGTATCAGATACTTGATTTTTTGGTAGAACGTGTCCCATGGAAGTAATTTTAAAATCATATAGAAAACAGAGCGCCAGCAGGTAGCAGAGCAGCTAAGACGCCGGACTCCTACCATAGTTCAAGTTCTGGATCCAGTGACTTGTGAGTGTACCCAAAACCCAGAGAGGAGAATGGAGAAGGGACTGCAGCAAGGCCATCCCCCCCGGGGAGGGGGGGGTGATTTCTCATTTTCTGTCTCTCTGCCTCTCTGGCAAGTGCATGCACCTTATAACAAAAATCTCCCTAAGAAAAAAAGAAGAAGAAATTCATATAGAGAATAATCAGGATTCTGCCCTGGATGGCCTCGGATGGATCACCAGCCCTCTCTGAGCCTCAGTTTCCTTGTTGTAAACGCAGTTATTTCCATAGGACCTGCCTAACCTGGGGCGGTACTGCAGCTGCGGGTGTGTGTTAATGACATAGCACATCGCCAGGCATACAACAGGTGCCCAATATTGGTCATCAGTCTTATCATCCAGCTGGCTTCTCAGTAATGTCCAGGGCCTCCCAGCAGAATCCACCGCGCGCCGCTTCACTCGAGCCTGAGCCGGCGGGAGAGGTCAGAGGAGTCTCTGTGTCGAGTTCAGAAAGAAAAATTCCTCTTCCTCCGCTACCCCCAAGTAGAGAAATAACCTTCTCCTTGCACTCTTACCAGCCTGGGTCCTGAGTCCGGTGCTTCTGGGAATTGGCAGGTTGTGAGTGGGTGGGGAGCAGAGGGATGAGGCAGGTCGTCCTAGATAGGTCTCCCCGCCTGCCTTTCTGCAAGCCCAGCACAATCTCAGCGGATCTGGGCCCAAGACCGCCCCAGCGCTGCCGCCCCGCCCACACGTTCCTGAAGAGCAGCCCGCTGTCTGCGTCGCCCAGGCCTGCCTCTGCGGGGAAACTGCTTTGGGATCTGGGCGCGCCGCAGGTGTGACCTGTGTGACCAAAGCCCTCTGAGAGTGCAGGCCGCTGGGCGGGGCTCCCCCGCGGGCTGGGTGCTTTGCACAAGTGTGGAAACATTTTTCTCCTTAGTCTTCAATTGAGAGCAATTTAAATTCCCGCAGATGGTGGGGTGGGGCTAAGAACCTGGGATGAGCAGGTGGGTGGGGCTGAGGCCGGTAACAGTGCCAGGGAGGGCAGGCTGGGCTCTCAGACCCGGTTTCTGGGAATCACCAGCAGTATGGGGTCCCCCACAAGAGCCCATGACGTGCTGGAGGACTTCTTGGAAAGACTTACTCAAAACCCCAAGAGATGGGGAGACCCCGGCTAGGCAGGGAGGAAGAGAGGACCTCTTAGCAAAGGGCACTACGGAGTGGAGGTTGGGACATCTGAGGAAGATGAAAGCACCCTGCTCCACCTGGCTAGAAAGTAGGCGTGGAGGGACCGGCAGATGGCGTAATGGTTAAGTTGCTGGACTCCTACATAGCTGACTATGGTTTGAGTCCCGGACTCTACGGCTTTGAACTCATGCAGGGTGCATGTACGTGCATGCCCAAGATCTTGGGAGGAGAATGGAGGTGAAGGGATTGAGGGATGGCCATTTCCCCTGGGAGTGATCCTTGGTTTTTGTCTGTCTCTTGCTGTCTCTCTGGTGAGCGCATGCAAAAACCTCTATTAAAAAAAAGAAGACAAAGAAGAAGACGAAGAAGAAAAGAAAATAAGGGTAGAGGTGGATGTCAGGACCTCCAGCAGCCCGCCCCTGGACCCAGGGCAGTCCTGCTGGTGTCCAGACCAGGACCTCCTGAGACTTGACTGCAGAGCCACGGGTCATTGGGGCCATTGCACACAATCCTGAGGTCCCCCCCAGCTACTCTGGGCCCCAGAACGGGCTGTAATTACCCCTGGAAGGAGGAAGGTGTGGACTAAGTGACTGCTCCCTGAACAGGACCCTGGGCCAAGGCCCTTCAACACCACTTCCAGGCTGGCTTCCTGGACTGGATATAGCACCTCACCCCCTCTTGGGTCCCAGCCTTGCCAGTCAGAGGCTGCTGGAAGGGGGTTGCTGTTCTCTAGGGTGGTGCAGGGGCAGGAAGGAGCAGAGGGAGCCCCTGTACTCATGCGGGCACTCCCTGACCTGGGCTCGCCCCTGGCAGCTTGTGGAGGCTGTCATTCTGGCCCTGGCACTGCAGTTTGGGGAGATTAGGGGGATCCTCAATCTACTAGGTCTATGCATTGGGAGGAGGCCTGATTCTAGACTCAAGTAGAACTGGGTTCAAATATCAGCTTACTGCTTACTGACTAGTCCCTGGCGTGGTGCTTCCACTCTCGGAACCTCAGCTTCCTCATCTGCAACCTGGGACAGGACCCGTGGACCGCGGTGCTCAGCCGGGGCGAATGTGCGTCTTTACGCACGGGGGCAGAAACGCAGGAGGGTGTGTGGCACAGGAGAAGGGGGAGTGTCCCCAGATCAGAGCATGTTCCCTGATTCACTCTGTCCTCCTCCCGGGAGAGTGTCAGGGCAGAGTGGGCTTCCTGAGGGGCGGGGTATGTACCCACAGCCACGGGTAAGAAAATGGAGCCCTGCCTGGTCTCTCTGCACCCCAGCCTGGGCCTGCCCCGAGCCCAGCCCTCTCCCACTAGGGTGGGTCCCAGGGGAGCTCAGGCCCAGCCCCACCCTTTCCAGAAACCAGGCTGCAGAGGCAGGGGCGGAAGCTGGCCTGAGAGCAAGTTCTGCCACCCCACCCCCGGCCACTGGGCACAGGGCTGGTCTGCAGCAGCACCAGGGCCTGGTCAGGGAGCAGGACAGAGAGGCCTGCAGCACCTCCACCAGCCATACCCTCCACAGGATGCGGACTGAGGCTGGTGACCCCAGCTTCCAAGACCCCAGCCCTCAAGAAAGGCTGCTAATGTCTCCTAGCAGCACCCAGGCTAACGCGATTCACACTTGCCGTGCTCCGAGTTCACACACCCTACTTCAGTTACCCGTCGGGAGAATCCCATGGCTTAGACGGGAGGACTCAGGCACAGAGACGCAGCCCGGCACACCTCCGCGCACACAGCAGGCTAAGCCCCTCCTGGTCACGCGGGACCGCCCCTTTCCGACTGTGTCACTGCATCTGTCGCTGTTCTTGGCGCACAGCACAGGACGACTGGGCCCCTACTGTTTCCTGGGAGCACGAGGGGCGACGCCCACAGGAGCAGGGAAGTGACACTGCGTGGTCCTGGGCAGTACAGCTGTGACAGCCATGATGTGACACAGGGCGCAAGCTCGACAGGGAGGCCCGACTCCACCCGCCCCTCCTGGGAGGTGGAGAAGCCTCCCAGACTCACTGAGAGTGGGGTGAGCGACTGGGCGTGGAGGCACCAGAGAACCTGCCCACTCGGGGACTCGCGCTGCAGAGCTTTGAGGCAGGTGCTCCCCATCCTACTGTATCTCCACGTCCTCTGCCAACTGGAATCCAAGCCGCCACGCTGTCCTCTCCAGCTCAGGGCCCCGGAGGACGCACAGATCATGAGAAGGGGGGAACGGAGGCGCCCAGACAAACTCAGGCTCTGGGCAGCTCTGGCCCGAAACTCTGCCCAATGAAACCAGCCCTCCTTCCTCCCGCCGGGCTCCCTGTCCCTCAGACGCCTGGTTCCCAAGCCAGGCCACGAGGAGGAAGAAAACAAGAGCCCTCCAAAGAGGCCTCCATTGTTCCCCAGGACTGACTCACGCAGAGGACGCTCCGTCCCCACTCCCCATGTGCCATGTGAGGTGACTCACGGCAGCTAAAATCACAGCCCTTAGCTATTGGCACCTCCCTCCTGGGCAGGGGAAACAGTGCCTGCACTCCCGGGCCTCCTGCCCTCTCCCAGCGGGAGGCTGGAGCCAGGGGACTGGGCAGGGGAAACTCATGCCCTCTTGGAAGACCCCTGGGCCTGCATCCTGAAGCGCCAATGTCAGCCCTGACCCCAGGGAGACCAGGGTCTTGCCTCAGTTGCTTTCCTTCTCAGGGAAAGTGGCAGAAATGCCATTTACATGGCCAGCAGGTGGCCTACTGGTTGGGGTGCTGGACTCTGACATGGCTGAACATGGTTCAAGTCCCAGACCTGGAGGCTTGCTTTCTCATTTCCCTCTCTCTCTCTCCCTCTCTATCTCTCTCTGGTGAGTGTGTGTGCCTTATAGCAAAGTAAAATACTATTAATAATAATAAAATTAAAATAATTATTTTTTAAAAGAAATGTCATTCAGTGTGGGGCATTTTATTACTGGCAAGGTGGGGCGTGGGGGCAGGTGAGGTGCTAGGCCTGGAGCTGTGGGGTGCAGGGCGAGTATGTGAGCAAGGAGCAGCTCTTGGGGAGAAGGCCCAGCCTTGGCAGACGCTGCTCCCTCTACTTCCAGCGCCCGGTGACTTTGGCCTTCCCACGGGTCTTGGAGCTGTGAAGGAAGCAGGACCCAGTGAGATGGGACACGGGGCAGGGTAGTGCAGTGGTCAGGGCAGGGCGGGCAGTGCCACAGCTCGAGAGGAGCGGCCTGGAGCTGCCTCTGGGCACATCCCAGGTCCTGCATGCCATTCCCACCAGGTATCAGCCGCCAAGGGGAAGAGGAGCCCCGGGGAGGCCTGTGGGCTGGAGGAGGGGACGAAGAGGTGGGAGCACAGAGCCCCCAGCGAGGAGCAGAAGGCCGACAGTGGGCGAGGAGGCAGTAGGCGGGCCAGGAAAGGACCTCGGATACGTACACTTTCTGGTTATCGTTGATCCTATTCCGGAGGACGTTGATCTGCAGAGTGGGAGATGAGGAGCGCGGTCAGAGCTCACTCAGTCCAAGCCCAGGCCTGCGGTGGGGCCCAAGGGGCTCAGAGCAGCCCCAGGACAGGAGCAGGAGGGCACTGGGCACTGGTGGTGGCCCAGCACTGGCAGGGGCACGAGGCGAGGGGCTGGGAGGGCGGGGAAGGGGCCAGGCTGCCACTTGAGACCCGACATAGCGGGAAGCGTGGGACAGGATGGCATGTGGGCTCACTTCGTATTTCTGCTGCTTGAACTTCTCCTGCAGGTCGAACTTCTCAGCCTCCAGGTTATAGATACTCTGCCACAGTTCCTTGGCCTTCTCCCTGCGCCGCGGAGTGGCAGGGGCAGCAGGAGGTGAGGGGCCCCGGGAAAGGGCCCTTGTGGGCTTTACTCCATAGGCGGGCCCTGCCCCAGAGGCCCAGCCCTCCTTCCCACCTCCAGGTCTGCGAGGGTGCCCCCAGCCCTCCCTGCGGATGGTGCCCAGTGCTCAGGAGCAGATCCCAGGGGCTGTCAGGGCAAAGTTCTGAGAACATGGAGGAAGGAGAGAGCCTTGGCACTGCCCAGCTTCTTGTTCAGTCCCCTCCCCACCACTTCTGTGCAAGAGGGGAGCTGAAGCCCAGGGGGTCAGGCGCCTGCTCTGTTCTCTTGGCCCACTAGAGGCGCCTGCTCTGTTCTCTTGGCCCACTAGCAAAGGCTGGGCTGGAGCATGCCTGACCTGCAGGAGCCTGGCACCCATCCCACCAAACGGGCCCTGGGAAAATATATGGGGTGGTGGCGCCCTCTGGTGGCTATATCAAGAAATGCCCTCTGTCAGACCCTCCAACCCCCACAGGGGCGCCCTCTCCTGGCCCCACCTCAGCTGATCTTCATTCAGGTGGTCAATGGCCAGCACCTTCCTCCTCTCTGCCAGAATCTTCTTCTTCTTCTCCCGCTCCGTCTGCCTCTTCCCACTTTTCCTCTCCGTCTGAAGAGTGGTAAGCAGGGAGAACTGGCTAGGGACTGCCCAGCCTGACCCCTAACCCTCCCAGAACCCTCTGGAGAGAGGGCTGAGGCCCACAGAAGGACCAGGTTCCTTTCCTCCTGACCCCGCGACTCTCCACACTATCCACTGCCCGGGCTCCCAGAGAAACGGAGGTGGCACAAGGTCGGCCACTCTAGCCCTTCCTCCCTGGCCTACCCAGCTCACCCCTCTCTCTCAGGGCTCCCTCCTCCCCACACAGCCCAGGCTCGACCCTCCTCCCCTCCAGAAAGCACCTTCCCTGCCCAGGAAGCTCCCCGAAAGTACAAGTACGGGGAGGAGAGGGTTTGAAGTTTTGGTACCCACCTGGGCTTGCTAAGCCAGGAAACCATGACAGAAAGACTCAGAGAGAAAGACGGAGACCGTGACAGAGACAGAGAGAAGGCAGGCACAGGCAGAGAGGCCGAGAGACGGGGGAGAAGATGACGGTCAGACACCGGCTGCAGGCAGCCTGGCCCACCAGCACGAGTCTGTGCGCTGCCCGCAGGCCCAGGCCACACCTTTGGCTGGTGCAGACACTGCGGGGCAGGGCAGGGTGGCAGAGCGGGGACTTTGGAAACCAAAGGCGACGTCTGGTCCCTCCACTGCATGGAGGATCTATTTCCCAGGCCCTCTTCCCTGAGGTGGGGTCTCCAGGAGAGGAACAGACATGTAAGGACCGGACGGTGAGTTCCCAGGACAAAGCCACACAACCACGGAGCGCAGGGATGCCTTCCTTGTTAGCGCGCTTGACTGCTCAAGGTCGGGGTGCGGGACCAGTCCCCGGCGGGCAAACAGCCTGGGAGTGGGCAGCAGGCTGCAAAGCTGTCGTGGCAGCGCCGGAAAAAAAAGGACAGGCTCCTTGTAGGGGCCCCCAGCCACTGTGGGGGCCCTGGGCAGTGCGGCAGCTGGGGAGGGTGGGGAGGGCTTGGTGCCCAGCCCCACCAGCAGCCCCCACCCCTGCAGGCCCCTCGTGGTGAGAGCCCAGGCAGGCTGAGAGCCAGAGCTGGGCTGGGGCAGAGGAAGCTGCAGTTCCTGCCCATGGGGCTGGGAGTTCTTCCTGGGTCCAGCCTACAGGCCGCCTGCTGCAGGGGGCTCCCTGCTCTTCTGGGCGCACCTCCCCACCCCCACCTACCTTCTGGATGTACCCTCCGAAATGCATCATGTTGGACAGCGCCTTCTTCTTCCGGGCCTCATCCTCAGCCTTCCTCCTGTTCTCCTCCTCCTCCCGCCTCGCCCTCTCCTCCTGATTGTCACGGGGGAGGAAGAGAGCAAATTAGGAGCAGGGTGGGAAGCCGACTCAGGCTGCAGCCGTGGTCTGTATAGGAGATCCCGGTCTCTCTCTGCTGCGCAAGGAGCTTTCTGAGGGCGCCCCAGCACACGGCCGGGGCCCGGAGCTACTGAGTGAATGAAGGGTGGCTGAGCGAGAGGATGAAGTCCTGACTCTCAGCCGTGAGCTGGGACCTCCCCAGGAAGACTTCTGCCCTCAAGGACCCTCCCCCTGCCAGCCGCTGTGCAGAAAGAGGACTCTGGGGCCTTCAGTCCCCAGGTAGCCTGTACTGGGGAGAAGCGAGTCCTCGTGGGTTTTAGAATGACAAGTTCAGGGCCGGCCCTGTGTCCCACGTAGCTGACCGTAGTTCAGACCCCGGACCCTGAGGCTTAAACACCAGGCTGGGCTTTCATGTATAGGTGTATACGTGTGTGTGTCTGCACATGGGAGTGCCCCAAGTCCCCACGGGATGGGGAAATGGAGAAGGGATTGTGGTGTGACCACACGACCTTGGGGAAGTGCTTTCTTCCCACACCCTTCTCTGTCTCTCTGTCTCTGGTAACAGGAACAGAAGCTGAGCTCAGAGGGACCAGGCACTGGGGCCCCTCGGTCTCGCTCTCTCCTGTACCATCAGAGCCAGGACGATGCCCCACGCTGGCTGGGTCCTGGCTGAATCCATGTTGATGATGGCGGGGCTGGGGGCCTGCAGGGGTGGGAGCGCCCTAGGGGTTCCGTTGGCCTAAGCGGGTCACTCACAGCCAGGCGGTTCTGCCGCTCCTTCTCCCGCTCACTCCGGATGCGCTGCTGCTCCGCCCGCTCAGCCCGCCGCCTCTCCTGCAGGGAAACAGCCAAGCCGCCCAGTGGGCACCGAGACAAGGTGTCACCAGAGGTGCTGGGCACAGGGGTTTCTCTGCAGAGCCCCAGGGCAGTGAAGCCCTTCCTCCAAGGCACCCACAGGCGGGCCTCCTAGGAGAGTGTTCTGGCTGAGAGGGCAGCCCCTTCGACCGCTCACGGAGAGGCTCTCCTCAAGAACTGGGAATGTCGGGAGGCCCCTCCTGTCTCCTAAGAGAACTGTGCCCACACCCGTCCTGGCCCCGGCAGCTGCGCTGTGCTCGAAGATGGATACAAGTCATGTCCCCAGCTGCCAGCCAGAGCTGCTGGGTGGGGAGAAGAGAAGAAATCCAGGCAACCTCCCCACCGCCCTGTGGATGGACCTGGGGCCCTGCAGGCCCACCATGCCCCCTGCTTTAGCAGGGCAGTCATGCCCAGTGGGCGAGACAGCAGGCTTCTGAGCTGTCACTCCACAGCCAGGGCCTGCAGGGACCAGAAAGAGACTCAGTTCCTGCCATCCAGCAATGGCCAGTCTGGCAGGGAGAAAAGGGACCCCAAGAAGCCATCTAGCAGGTTCCTGAAGGACAGCCCACTCCTAACAGGGTCAGGGACTCCCAGGAAGGCTGCCTGGAGGAGGTGGGGCCTAATGAGACGGGGTGGAGGGCAGGGGTCCTTGGGAGCATTTGGATGGGAGACTTGACACCTACAATCCTGTCTTTGAGGGAGACAAGCTCCTCCTCCTCCTTCTTCCTGTTCTCAAAGTGAGCCTCGATCAGCGTCTGCAGCTCGTTCAGGTCCTTCTCCATGCGCTTCCGGTGGATGTCCTGTGGGCAGGCCAGGGCTCAGCGGCTGCTCCAGCGGGTGCAGGATGGGGGGAAACAGGTGGGCTAGACACTCCCCTACTCAGTGGGGCCTGGGACAGGGCAGCTATGGCCTGACTCCAGGACTCTGCTTAAGGGCTAGCAGCCAGCCTGGCCCATCTGAGCCCCATCCTGCCTGTCCACTGCCTCCAGCCACAGGCCACAGGTTACAAGCCATAGGTCTCCTTCCATCCGGGCCCTTGGACCACCCCCAGGCCTGGCCTGCTCTACCCATAGCCACCACTCACATCGAAGTCCACTCTCTCTCCGTCGGGGATCTTGGGCGGCACCAGATTGGGCATGAACAGCCTGTCAGAGAGGAACAGAACTGACGAGACAGCCCCACTCTGGCCCTGGGGTCGGGGTGTCTAGGGCAGGCAGGGCCCTTCCTCCTACAGAAACCCAGTAACATTCTCACTGATGTTCACGTCAGGAGTCCTGCTGCCTGCCTGGCATCTGGGAACACAAGCTCTGCCACATTTGTCACGTTGTCCTCACAGCGCTCCATGAGGAAGGTCGCACTGGTCTCTTTTAAGCAAACTAGAACTCAGAGAGGTCGTGGGCCTTGCTCAGAGCACACAGCGGGAAGCAGAGAAGTGAGAAGATGCATACGTGTCCGACTCCAGATCCCTGTGGCTGACCCCACAGAGTTCCCCGTGAACCCTGGAGACCTGTGGTTTGCGCCTTGGGCCCAACATACGCTTCGTGCATGACCCCAGGCTTGGGTGGGTCTCTGGTTCTTGGTTTTCCCATCTGCCCTCAGGTGTGTGCAGAGCCAAAACGAGCTAATGCAGCGCACAGGCAAATGGCCAAGGAGGGAGAGGTGCTGGACAGATGGTCAGATGGACAGACTGCGGTGGTCTGGGCTGGGCGGGGCTCAGGTCTCATCAGATGGGAAAACACCTGCGAGTATGCTGAGGCGCCCCCTGCTGGCAGGCTAAGGAGATGCTCCCTGTTCCCCAACCCACTCAACACCCACCACCTGCAGGTGCGGTTCACCTGTGTGGGGCCAAGCTGTCCTGCTCCACCCTCTGCAACTCTCCTAGGTCGGCATGGTTTCATCACTCGGCTCCCCTAAAGACATTTCCCTTTACTCCAGGTCCCACCTTAGCCCCAAGGAAGGTGCTCTGGCCATCCCACCCATGGGTAGGGGAAGGGGGTGCCCAGGCCGCAGCTAGTCCATCTCCTCTCTCTGGACAGACAGAGCCGCGGGTGCACAGTGTGCAGTGAAGTGTGGGGAGAATTCGGCCCCCAGGCTCCCCTGAGGCAGAGATCTCTGTGCAGTACACAACCGCACAACGGCACATGGCCAGCTGTGCCTGCCGCAGCTCCAGCCCAGGCCTGCTCCCCCTGCCACACCCCTGTACTGTCCCCGTCGGCCTCCCTCCTGGCCCTCCGCACCCACTCACCTGGGCTTGGGTTTCGACTCCTCCACTGGGCCGTCTGGAGGGGAGAAAGGTGACGGGTCAGGAGGGCCGAGACTTGGCACCAGTCCATCAGGGATGAGCACGTGGGGCCTTCATTTCCCCATCTACACAGTGGGATCCCGGCCTGGGGACCCCTGACTCCAGTAGCACCCAGAATGAAGGCAGCAGGTTGCAAGCACCCACCCCACCCCCACCCCCCAGGAGAACGTCTCAGGGACAGCTGGGTCCTGGCAGGGCACAACAGAGTGGACTTACGGGCCGCCTCTCCTTCTCCAGTTCTGGCCAAGGCAGCTTTGTTCCCTTGGGCTTCACAGCTCTGGGAACCCTGGCCCTAGGCTCTCCTCCAGGCCTTTGCCCCTGGGCCTCCCAGTGGCCACAGGGCCGGGAAGCTGGCGGACAAGGCTCCCAGCCAGCTGGCTGCCCCTCCCTCTGGATGCCTGGCTGGGACCACCTGGCACCCTGGACAGGGCTGCACATGACAGCCATGACAATCAACACTGTGCCCACCCTGCACCCAGACTGTCTGCTGGGCTACAAGGGATTTCGCCTGAGCCCCAGCAGCGTACACGTAGACATGACCTCTGGGTCCTGCTGCCCTGCCCAGACCCGGACACCAGACCCCAGTCCCCTCTCCCACTAGGAAGTACCAAGGCAGCTCTGGGGCGAGGTAGGCAGAGGTTCGGAGCTCAGCGTCTCAGACCTTATGAATGCCACAAGCTCGGCCTCCCCTCCCCACCTCCCTGCAGGAGTCCTGTAGGCAGTCTCCCCAAAGCTGCTCTGAGGGTCCCCTGGCCACCGCAAGCTTCTCTCCTATGTCCGACGGTCTTTACCTTCAGCCTCTTTAGCTTCTTCTGGTCCATCTTTTAAAGAAAACAGGAGAAACGGATCAAGGTCCTTGTTCTGAGCACGAATTCTGGGCCCTGCCCTCAGAGCCTTCTGCACAGACAGGCCCTAACCAAGGTGCACCCCGCCAGTTTACGGGGTTAGGGAGCTGCCTAATTGCACCTCGGTGTCCCTGGGTCAAGACCCTGCCTGACAGGAAAGAAGCACTGCCATTGATTGGACAACTGAGGGCTGAATCCCAGACCAGACAGGAGAAGTGGATGCAGGAGTTGAAATGCATGACCAGGAGGGTTTCTTACCACCCAGGAATGGCTCTGGGGCTCTCGCCGGCCCCACCCCCAGCCCCTGCGGACACTCAGAGCTCTACCTTCTGCCTTGGTCTCCTCGGACTCAGCCTCAGCCTCAGCCCCACCTTCAGGGTCCTCTTCCGCTGCCTCCTCCTGCCCTGGAGGGTGAGCCAGACACAGTGAGCCCCCAGCCCCCAGCTCCCAGCCCCCAGGGCAGCCCACGGGCAGGAGCCACAGAGCCAGGCCGACAGCACTCAGGTTCTTTCGAGGTGACCCATATGAATGACAGGGGCCTGCTCAGTTCCTGGTCTAAACCACAAGTCAGCCGACTAGGCCCAAAGGCCAGGCCCCACCACAGACTGTCTAGAAATAAAGGCTTCCCAGATGCGGCCACATTTCCCTCTGCGTATTGGCCGCAGGTCTTCCTGCTACCTGGCAGAGCAGAGGGGCTGGACCCAGACTCCTCGGCCCGTGGAGCTGGGGACATTTACTGTCTGTTCCTTTACAGAAAACGTGTGGAAGGAACACAGCAGGACCCCTGGTCAGGCCTGGGGGAGTCCTGTTCTAAACTTGCCTCCCGGAGTTTGGGAATCAGAACTGGGCTTTCTGAACATGGAGACCTGGTCTCTACCTGGAGGCCACAGGGAGGGCCAGAAATCAGGGAGGTGAGGCACATTAAGGTGTGGTGGGTGCCCCGGGCAGCACCAAGGAGGGGATCCCAAGGACTCATTGCTGGAGGGCCTGCAGAGGGGGAGGTCTGTCTGCCACCCTCTGCCTGTCCTAGCTCTTTCTTCGATAACCTCCCTGCTGGTATGAACCCCGCTCCATTCCCCAACTTTCTACCCCAAAGTTCTGCCCAGTTTGTGGGCCCACGTCCATATCAAGGAGAACCCAGAGCAGCAGACGGTGGGGGGAGGAGGGTCCAACATCTCCGGGAAGTGGGCTGGATTTCTCTACTTTCATCCACTTGCTTGGCGGGATGGGGACCCCACCCTGTCAGACACTTAGAATAGACAGACAGACAGATCAGGAAGACAGGATGACGCCTGACCCACAGTTCTGCCTGTAGGGAGTGCTTAGTGATGCTCCATGACTGACAGACTGGCAAGCAGAGGGAGAAGAAAAGGCCTCAGGCCAGAGGAAGAGGCCATAATGGGAGAGAGGCCGGCCTCCGTTCCCTCTGCCTCCACCCTCTCTGAACACCTTTCCTGGGCCTGTGTCCTCTCTGAAGCCTGGAGATGGCCCTGTTTTGATCCTCGCAGGAGCCTTACTGAAAAAGAGATCTTTCCAGAAGGCATGAGAGTACAGGGCCGGCCAGGATGGACAGGGCCCGCTATGGAACCCACCCCAGGCCATCTGGTGGCTCCTTTCTCTGTACAACACCCCCGCCCTACCCAGTGGCCATGCAATGTCCCCTTGATGGGAGCTCACTTCCTCTCCTGTCGTCTCTGCCGTCTGCGTCGGGACATCACCGGGGAGGTCTTTCTAAAAGCAAGCCCCAGCCCTATCCCAAGGCCCTGCCTTGGCAGCGCACACCTGAAGGCCGACATCACCTCCCCTCTGCCGTTTCCAGTCCCCCAGCTGCTCCTCGGACCACTTTGTCTCAGGCCCCTCAACCCCTGGTCACTCTACTGGGCATGGCCCAGCTCCTGGGGAGGGTCCCGCATGGAGCCCTGACGTGTGCCGAACTAAGTATGGGGACACGCGTTCCAGACATTGGGTCCCCTCTGCACCAGAGCAGCCTGGGAGACGGCCCAGCCCAGGGCAAGAACCAGAAGCCAGGGAAAGGGGACGAACTGGAGCTGCGGCTCTGGTCCTCCGAGACAGGGCCAGGAACACCTGACCTGCAGCACAGCTCCCCACCGCTCGCCCCGCACCCTCCACTGCTCACACTGCCCCATGCAGGGCCTCCGAGACAGGGCCGGGAACACCTGACCTGCAGCACAGCTCCCCACCGCTCACCCCGCACCTGCCACTGCTCACACTGCCCCATGCAGGGCCTCCGAGACAGGGCCGGGAACACCTGACCTGCAGCACAGCTCCCCACCGCTCACCCCGCACCTGCCACTGCTCACACTGCCCCATGCAGGGCCCCCAGCTGACTGGCCCTCGGGACAGCAGGGAGCAGAAAGCACACGAAGGAGAAGCCATATACCGTCTTCGTCCTCTCTCCAGTCTTCCTCTTCTAACGCCGGGCAGTGGCAGCAGCGGAGGGGAGAAGCAAGACAGGTTAGTCTGGGGTGGGCAGACCTAGGCGGGAGCCCGGGGCCAGCACGGCAGTGTGGAGAGTTAGGCCTGAGTGCCACTTTCCAAGCCACCACTTCCGAGCCACCCAACCTCACAGCTCAGTCCCGAAGCTGGTTGGCACAACAGAAACACGCATTCCCCAGCCACATGCGTGGGGATGGACACAGCCAGCAAGCACGGCGTGGCCAGCAGGCGCCCGGCACGTGGGGAGCATCGGGTACGGGGGAACTGGCAGCCACTGCCTGCCTCAGGACCACAGAGCCTGGCCTCCCTCCTACTAAAGTACAAAAGTGGGGAGCAATCGCACCCATCGAGTTACCCCATTTCCTGCCCTGATGAGCCTATAGGATTTCTCTCTAATCATCTCTGGTTTTTCCAGGAGTCACACTGCAGAATGCCTCACTGGACAGCCTGGCCCCGGGGGCTTCGCCTGGCCTGTGGAAGGAAGGCGCCCCTCTAAGGGAGGCCCAGAATTTCAACCTCCAGAGCACAGAGACGCCACAGGGCCCGGAGGCTGCTCTGTGCAGGAAACTCAGCAGGTGCTGGAACGAGCTAGATTTTTTTTTTCTTTTTGAGAGAGAAAATTTTGCTATAGGGCGCGTGCACTCGCTAGAGAGACAGAGACAGAAAGCGAGACATCACCCCCCTAGGGAGGATGGCCACGCCACAAATCCTTTCTCCTCCATTCTCCTCCTGGGATCCCGGGCTCAAGCGCACACGTACCTGGCGTGAGTTTCAAGCCACTGGGTCCAAGACGTGATCCTCAGTCGACCATGTGGGAATCCAGCTCTTTAACCACACTATCTGCTGGTTCCACCAGCTAGATTTTTTATTCAAAAAATATTTCAGGGGCCGGACAGTGGCACAGCGGAAGCATGGTGCCCTGCGAGGATCACCCACACAGCAGGTGTGGGAGGGCAACAAACTCTCACTTATAAAACTACTTGGAGGGACTGGCAGATGGCATAATGGTTACATCGCTGGACTCCCACAGAGTCAAACCTGGTTCAAGTCCTGGACCTGGCAGCTTAATACTCGCACAGGATTGGGGGTAGCTGGCAGGTGGCATGGTAGTGAAGGGCACTGGACTCCCACAGGGGCAACTGCGGTTCAAGTTCTGGACCTGGCAGTTTGGTTTCTCACCTTCTCCTTCTCTCTCACTCTGTTCCTCTTTGGTCAAATTAAAATAAATGAATAAATAAATAAAGTTAAGGGACCAGCAGTTGGCATAATGGCTATATCTCTGGACTCCCATGTAGTTGACCACAGTTCGAGTCCCGGATCTGGTGGCTTAAACTAACGCTGGGCTCGTGTGCGTGCGTGCCCGAGATCCTGAGAGGAGAATGGAGGAGAAGGGATTGTGGCGTGGCCATCCCCCCTGGGGGGTGATTTCTCACTTTCTGTCTCTCTGTCTGTTTCTGTCTTTCAGGCAAGTGCACATGCTCTATAGGAAAAACCTCTCCAAAATAAATAAATAAAGTTAAATAAAATATTTCTTTAAAAAAAAAAAAAAAGAAAATACTCTTGCTGAGTGTGCGTGCGTGCCCAAAATCTTGAGAAGAGAATGGAGGAGAAGGGATTGTGGCGTGACCATCCCCCTGGGGGGTGATTTCCTGCTTTCTGTCTCTTCAGCAAGCGCATATGCCCTATAGCAAAAATCTCTCTCTTAAAAAAAGAAAAAAAAAAAACTACATGGATAAGTAATTTCCGATGTGTCGCTTTGGTAGCTCCAGTGTGAGGAGAGAGAGACGCAGGGCTGATGAAAGCAGCAGCAATCACACCGTCCTTGGCTGCTTGCGAGCCCAGGACAAGCAGTCACACTCCCTCAGGAGGCCCGCTGTGATGTGCAAGCAGCAAGCAAAAGTGGCACTCGCTCCCCACTGTCTGTCCTGGTTGTCACAGTACATCCTTCCTCAGTAAACCAGAGCTCTTAAAGGGATGTCTTAGAAGTTGTTTTCCTATATCATTTTATAAGTGACAGATTTTTTTAGAATTCTTTTTTTTTTAACTTCAGTTATTATAATTATTTTTTAATCTGACCAGAGAGAAAAGGAGAAAGTGAAAAAGCAAGCCACCAGGTCCAGGACTCGAACTGTGGTTGGCCATGTGGGAGTCCAGCACCTCTAACCACCATGCCACCTGCTGGCCCGTGATAGATTTTCATTGGCCCTGGATAGCTCTCGTTATACTGGCGCTACGAAAGGGCATGTCAGACATTATTGACCCGTGTAGTGTCACAGGGACAGACTTCTGTTGTTCTCACACAGGAGGGTTCTGGGTTCGCATCCAGAGACCTCCAGAGGATACCAGGCACACCTGTGTGTGATCCAGGGCCACCAAGGCCGGCGGTGGAGAGAGGCACTGAGACCCCTGGGCACTGTCTCTCTGTGTCCATCTCTGTCTCTCTCGCTCACGGAAGAAAAGGAAAATGTTTTAAAAGCCATTTCGGATAGTTTTGATGTTCCTCGAAAACCGAGACTCCTATGACCCCTTCCAGCTTTCCCTGTGAATTTCTCTTCCATTTCCTCTTTGGCCAGGCACCCCCAGGACAGCCCTAAATGTGCAGGGGACTCCCCTATTTTCCCTAGAAAGCAGAGGGCATGAGAGAAGGAGCAGTGACTGAGCCTCCCAGCTCTCCCCAGACCCGCATGGAGACCCTCGTCTGGAGACCCTCCTCCTAACGCCCCCACACCCGTGCTGAGTGACGCTGAGCCCCCTATGGAGCAGGTCCCACTGCCAGGGCTGCAGGTGTTCAAGGTGTCCGGGAGTCATCTGGGGCCATTTGATAGCTGAGCGAGGACTGGAGTGAGGTATCCTGGTCAATTCCACGTGTCAAGCTCTCCGGAAGGAGACTTGGGGTGTTCTTTCAGGGAGCCATGGGACCCAGCGCTGAGGAGGCACCGGGCTAATGGGCCAGAGAGACGCCAGCGAGCCTTTGCAGGAGAACGGTGACAAACCTCACACCTGTGTAACTTCTCACAGCGAGAGTTTTCATACTCCCCATCCATTTAGGACACATGTAAAGGGAGGGTCCTCAGGTGTGGTATGGTTTTGTGGTTATTATTTTTTAATAGTGCTTATCTTTTAGAGATTCGTACTAAAATATTAAAGCGTAAAGCGGCACAGTGCCTGGGAAGGATTTGAGATGTCTGTTCCACAGTAGCTGGGGCGATAAAAGACAGGTGAAAGACGGCCAGCCCTAGGCCGATGGCTGCCCAAGCTGAGTGGTGAGCGTGGGGTGGTGGTGGTGAGAGGGGTATTCTTTTTTGGCTAGTTCTAATTATATGAGCATTTACATTTTTGCACAAGCACGGCGTGGCCTGCAGGCGCCCAGGGCCTGTTGAATTACTAAAAAAGTAACTCATTAGAAGAGATGGTGATTCTACTAGAAGAAAAGGGCAAGAGAGGAGACTGATCTGAGCTGTCTGCCCGCAGTCCTGAGCAGCAGCCGCAGGACAGAGTCCCACATGGGAGCCACCGTTACTGGGGGACCTTTGCTCAGCCCGCAGTGAGGGGCGGGGACACACAGGCCGCTTTCCCGAGTTTCTCCCCCCTAGCCCCCCACCTGCCCGAGGCATACCTTCCACAGCGTCTTCTGCTCAGAAGAGGAAGCCAGGCCAGCAAGAGGGAAGAGAAGAGGGGGTCAGTTTCAAACCACGCTGCTGTCCGTGATCCAAACAGGTACACACGCGTGCACGCTTACCTTCCTGCTCCCTGAGTGTGACAGGGACACAGTCAGTAGGGTGCACATGCACACACACCCATGCTGGTCTTTCCCTGAAGTTAACCCCTTGTGCTCCCCCGGCCTACTGGAGCCCCCGAGCTGGGCCTCTTGTCGCCTAGGGCTTCCTGCCGCAGTCGGGCAGATGCCACCTCTGCAGTGTCTGCTCACTCACTACCTTCCTCTCGCCTCTGCGCTTTTCGCAGGCTGTGCCCCTTTCTAGAAAGCTCCTCTCGCTCCAGATCCTACACAGGTGAGCCCTGCCCGCTCTACCCAGCCTGCCGACCAGTCCAGTCCCAACTCCCTGTCCCTAGAATTCCTTTACCACCTACTGACAGGCCCTTCCAGCAGGACCCCTGCTGGCTACTTCTGACATTGTGGGTCTTAACCTGCAATCAGAGAGAAAGATCTAGAAAGGCAACAGCTCTGTGTCCCCTGCTCCCTAGTAGATAGCTACCACCCACCCCGGCTTCTCTCCAAGACAGCACTGTGGTCAGGGCACTGTCAGGGGAGAGCAGGGGTCCGGGTGGGGTCATGACGCTGAGCTCTGCATCAGTTTCAGGCAGGGTCAGCTCAGGGGCCCAGTTTCTTGACCCCTCTGCTGCCGCCTGTCTTCTAGTCCAGTGGGCCCTGCGGACTCTGCAGCTGAGCCTCTGCACCTCCCAGACTCGCCCAGTCGTGGTCTGCCGTCCTTAACCCAGAGGTACAGGAGAGGGAAGGAGGGGACGAGTCTCTCCCCAGGGTCTCGAATGAAAACAGGCCCAGCCGCTGCCCTGCCTGGGATCCGGGTGTGAACCAGGGGTGGGGTGGATGGAGGGGGGCTGGTGCTCACACAGAAGTCCCCAGATACTCACTCCTCGAACTCCTCCGTCACCTCCTCTGTGTCAGACATGGCCTCTGCTCCCCCTCCAGAAAGAGAAAGATGTCAGAGAGGACTGCCTTCCCCGGAGAGCTCTGAGCTGGTGGGAGAGAGATCAGGGCGCCTGGCCTGAAGCTTGCTCCACCCTGTATTAGCTCTGCGACCTGCACAAAGCCTGTCCCCTCCCCTGCCAAGGGGAGACGATGACACCACGTCACAGCCAGGCAGCCAGCTGATGGCCAGGTTCCAGGGTACGTTCACTGCAGAACGCCCGGGCGTTCCCATGTAACTGTCCAGCACTGGTCAAGTTTCCAGACCTGGCCAGTCTGCAGAAGCCATCAGCCCGGATTCAGCACGCACAGCACGACAAGCCCCACCCCGCTGCCCATGACCTGTCCACCCGTCACTGCACAAGGCTGCCCAGGGAAGTGGAATACTACTCAGCAATGAAAAGGAACAGGCCATGGACAAGTGGCTCTACCATGCATTTGCATGGACCTTGAAAGGTCAAGTGACCTCCCTGCTCCTTGGTCCCTGTGCTCTGAGACTGCTTCTCTTCTAGGCCAGATGTGAGCTGCTGTAAAGAGCTTAGCCAAGTAGGCATTCAACAAATAGCTATTGTAGCCCAACCCTCCTGGGCCAGAGCAGTGCAGCTCCCACCTGCAGCTCCAGGGCACCATGGAATTTATTGAAATGTACGTGCTCCTTGGGGCTGGCAGGTGCCATGGTGGGTAAGAGCACTGGATTCCCATATGACTGACCATGGTTTGAGTCCCAGACCTGGTAGCTTGCTTTCTCACTTTCTCCCTCTCTCTCTGTCTTGCTCTGTCCCTCTCTGGTCAAATGAAAATAAGTAAATAAATAAAATTAAGTAAAATAATTATCTTTTTGTTTTTGTTTTTGTTTGTTTGTTTGTTTTGCTTATTCTGTTGTTGTTTTATTTTTATTTTTATTTTTGGAGAGGTTTTTGCTATAGGGCACGGGCACTCGCCAGACAGAGAGAGACAGACAGAAAGCGAGAAATCACCCCCCAGGGGGCATGGCCACGCTGCAATCCCTTCTCCTCCATTCTCCTCTCGGGATCTTGGGCACGCACATGCGCCAGGCGTGAGTTTAAGCCACTGGGTCCAAGACTCGAACCACGGTCGACTACATGGGAGTTCAGCAACATAGCCATTACACTAACTGCTGGTCCCAAAATAATTAGTTTTAAAAAAAGAAAAAGAAATGTAAATGTCCCCACCCCTGCCTTCCCATGTTTGTTATTTCCATGTCAGGCTACGAGAGGAGAAAGGACAGGTGAGGCAGGGTAGAATCGGAAATGACGGCTGAGACCACCCCCCATTCTTCCCTGGGCCCTCCACCCCACCTCCCCGCCCCCGTGGGGTCTCCAGGGCTGCAGCGCCAGTTTCTGACCCACTTCATAAGGCGAGCACAGAGAGCCCACTCACTTCCGCCCCTTCACTTCCCCCTGCCCATCCCACTGCAGAGGCTGAGACCACCCAGACCCATCTGTGGATGGCTGAAGAGAGCCAGTGCTTTGGCGGGATGAGGTGATATCTGCCATAAGGCAGCCCCTTTGAGGCTAAGAGGTTCTCAGGGAGCTGCCGCCCGCTTCCCCTCAGGAGAGGGACTTCCTCAGCCTGAGCACTCACTGCAGCCTTGGGTGGCTGCTCTTTTGTATCTGCTCTGGCGATGCCCAGTCCTGAGGGGTGAGGGACAAGCTTGGTGGCCACAGGGCAGGGTCCTCCCGTGCTGTCTCCCGGAGTGGGGTGGGGTGAGTGTGGAGAGGGCCCTGTTCACAAGGAGCTCTGGGCATCAGCTCTGAGCCCTACTGCTCCTAAAATAGCACTGGGGGAGGGCCTCCAGCCCAGAGGACCAGCCAAGGCAGGGCTGAGGAAGGGGAGGCGTAGCTGCCGCTGGGGCTCCAGGATGGGGCAAGGTTGGAGTGTCCTGAGGCAGACTTCCTCAGCCAAGAGACCGGGGTCACCTTTCTTGGGGAGGGAGATGAAAGAACAGAAGGCAGCAGGAACGCGCCTGGGGGCGTCACGAGATGTGGGTCACAGCCCGCTGGTGCTATGTGGCCTCAGTCATTCCACCTCTCTGCAAAGCAGATGGGCTTTGAGCTCCCGGCTCACAGAAACTGCCTGGGTTTCCAGGGAACGCAAGTCCTCCACTTCTGGGGTCTCCCTAAACCCGCAGCTGTTGGTCCCCCAGGAGAGCTGGGGGTGGGCGGCATGGAGGTGGGGGCAGGAGGGAGCTGGCAACCTGATCCGCTCAGATTCCTCAGCCCAGAGGAGCCCTGGGCCTCCCATTCAGGGTCAGAGGAGGAATCCGGAGGTCTTCCTGCTGGACCAGGCTGAGGTATGTTGGAAATTCCTCACAGTCCAGGTGTTCCCTCCTGGAATCTCCCCCAGCCTGGCCGGAGAAGCTGAAAATCAAGCAAATCCTTCTCTGTCGCTCCCAGGCACAGTGACGTCTGTCCCTACTGAGCATGTTGGGGTGAGATCCGGCAAGGGACAGGGGGAGGGGCAGCTAGACGGAAGATGAGCCCTTGAGTGCCAACAGGCTGGGCCCCCACCCCATGAAAGGGTCTCCCAGAGGGCTCAGTCCACACTGGCCCCAGCACTGCTCAGCCCGGGCTCTACCCTGGGGAGGGGCATAGGGCCGGCTCAGGGAGTTCAGTGGGATCCGCACATCTGCTTGGACAGCAGGACCCGCCTTGGACGCTTGACATTCCCCATCACTTCCAGGATGGACCCCGAGTTCTCAGAGCCTTTAACCACAAGGACCCGTCTATGTCTGCAGTGTTGACTTACCTCAGACTCAAGGGGACATAGGTGGCCCTTGGCCTGGACCGAGACATCTGGGGAAGTCCCTGCTGGGCAGGGCGTCCTGCATTTGGAGCAGGCATTTAGTGATTATCTAGCCCACTCCACGGATGAGAAACCGAGCCCAGGGACGGAAGGGGACTCACCCAAGACTACAGCTGCACATCTTCGGTGGCAGATCCAGGATCAATCCCATCTCCCATTGCTAACAGGGTCCTCATCACTCTCCTGCACTAATCGTGGGTCACAGAGAGGGCCCCCTCCAGGAGGACTGTGGACTCTCATCAACTCCAATGGTCTCTCAGAGCGGATACAGTCAGACGCAGGGTAAGGGCACCCGGGCCCAGGACCCTCGCATCTCCCTGTGCTCTGCTGTCCTTTCCTGGCCTCGTCCGAGTCTTACCTCAAACAGGAGCCACCAGCAGGTCCTGGAGGTGTCCACTCGGCCTGGGCAGGGACTGGGTGAGGCCGGGGCGATCACGGCTTTAAGCAGGCGTGTGGGCTGGGCCCTTTGAGCCAAGCCTGCGGTGGGAGGAATGTGCGGCCGGAGACGGGCGGCGGGGGTGGCAGTGGGGGGCGGGGGGGGTTGGCTGCTATTTTTGCGGGGGCGGGGGGGACGGG